GAAAAATTTCTTAAACCAAATACAAAAACAGAGCTAACCATAAAGGGTAAAATTGATAAATAGAACTACATTAAAGATGTGATTTAAAAAAAAAAAAAACAAAAAAAAACCCTGAGAAGACAAACCACAAACTGGAAGGTGTTTGTGGCATGTATTACTTTTTTTTTTTTGAGACGAAGTCTGCACACCAGCCTGCTTTGTTACCCAGGCTGGAGTACAGTGGCGCGATCTCAGCTCACTGCAGCCTCTGCCTCCCAAGTTGAAACAATTCTCATGCCTCAGTATCCAGAGTAGCTGGGACTACAGGTGCCTGCCACCACACCCGGCTAACTTCTGTATTTTTAGCAGAGACAGTATGTCACCATGTTGGCTAGGCTGGTCTCAAACTCCTGACCTCAAGTAATCTGCCTGTCTTGGCCTCCCAAAGTGCTAAGATTACAGATATGAGCCACCTCACTTGGCCCTCGAAAAGTTACACATAGAGTTACCATATGACCCAGCAGTTCTACTCCTAGCTGTATACCCAAGAGAATGGAAAATGTATGTTCACATAAAAACTTGTGTACTAATATTCATAGCAGTATCATTTGTTATAGCTAAAAGTAAAAACAACCTGTGTCCATCAATTAATGGATAAACAAAATGTATATGTACACAATGGAATATTATTGGCCCATAAAAAGGAATGAAATATTGATACATTCTATAACATAGATGAACCTTGAAAACATAATGCTGAGAAAGAAGCTAGACATACAAAATTAGCCAGGTGTGGTGGCACATGCCTGCAATCCCAGCTATTAGGGAAGCTGAGGCAGGAGAATTTTTTGAACCTGGGAGGCAGAGGTTGCAGGGAGCTGAGATTGCACCATTTCAGCCTGGGTGACAGAGCAAAACTCCTTGTGAAGAAAAAAAAAAAAAATGAAGGAAAAAAATCAAGAGAGAGCAAACTTAGAGAAAGTTAGTTGCATAATTCTTTGAATTTTTTTTTTTTTTTTTAACTAATAATGTGCAAGGCAGGCAGATCACAAGGTCAGGAGATTGAGACCATCCTGGCCAACATGGTGAAACCCCATCTCTACTAAAATACAAAAAATTAGCTCGGCCTGTAGCCCCAGCTACTCGGGAGGCTGAGGCAGGGTAATCGTTTGAACCCGGGAGGTGGAGCTTACAGTGAGCCGAGATCGCGCCACTGCACTCCAGCCTGGTGACAGAGTGAGACTCCATCTCAAAAAATAATGTGCTTGATACCATATGACGTCTGAAGTACAGAAGAAAACTCTTGGAATTCATTGTCAGTGAGGTGGATTGTTTTGTTTCATTTGTTTGTTAGGTTTTCTTTGTTTTGTTCGAGATAGGGTCTCACTTTGTCACCCAGGCTGGAGTACAGTAGTGGCACGAACATGGCTGACTCATTGCACCCTCCAACTCCCAGGCTCAAACGATCCTCCCACCTCGGCCCCCCAAGTAGCTGAAACTACAGGTGCACACCACCACGCCTGGCTATTTTTCATTTTTTATTTTTGAGACTGAGACTCACACTGTTGCCCAGATTGGAGTGCAATGGCACAATCTTGGCTCACTGAAGCCTCCACCGCCTGGGTTCAAGCAATTGCCGTGCCTCAGTCACTCAAGTAGCTGGGATTACAGGCATGTGCCACCATGCCCAACTAACTTTTGTATTTTTAGTAGAGATGGGGTTTCACCATGATGGCCAGGCTGGTCTCAAACTCTTGACCTCAAGTGATCCGCCTGCCTTGGCCTCCCGAAGTGCTGACATTGTAGGTGTGAGCCACCACGCCTGGCCTTGTTTTGTTTTTGAGATGGGAGTCTCACTGTGTTGTCCAGGCCAGACTCAAAACTCCTGGGCTCAAGTGTTCCACCTGCTTCAGTCTCTCGAATAGCTGGACTACAGGTGCTTACCACTGCTCTAGGCTGGATAATCCTTTTAAAGGCTTTTTTTTTTTTTTTTTTTTTTTTAAAAGCACCAGAATTCTGGTAGCCTGTTTCATCCTCTGGAAATAGAACCTTGTAAGACACTTGAATTGGCAGAATTCCTTTGAGCAAAGATTTAATAAGATTGCAGAAATCATTAAAATGCTTCTAAATAAGTATAATTTACCCAGTGTGACTTTCCATAGACTGGCTTTTGCTTTCTATTGTATTGTGAATCTAATCTGGCCTTAGAAAACCACTTTTTCATTGTACCATATTTTTGGAAAATTTCTTTTTTTTTCTTTCTTTTTTTTTTTTTGAGATGGAGTTTCACTCTTATTGCTCAGACTGGAGTGCAGTGGCGCAATCTCGGCTCAACGCAACCTCTGCCTCCTAGGTTCAAGCAATTCTCCTGCCTCAGCCTCCTGAGTAGCTGGGATTACAGGCATGTGCCACTACTCCTGGCTAATTTTGTTATTTTTAGTAGAGACAGGGTTTCTCCATGTTGTTCAGGCTGGTCTCAAACTCCTGACCTCAGGTGATCCACCCACCTCATCCTCCCAAAGAGCTGGGATTACAGGCGTGAGCCACCTTGCCCGGCCTTTTTGGAAAAATTCTAACAATCCACCAAAATTTAAACTTGACTCTGATATAAGAGAAAATATTTGCAGAAAATGCTGTTAAAATTCTTTATAATGGTATTTACAGGTTTCGTAGAAACCTCGTCTGTCTTTAAGAGACTTGCTAATGCTGATTGATTTCACAGAAATGAAAAAAGCCTCCATCTTTCCCTTCTTGTATTTAATTGGGATGTTCAGCTAGTAATTACCTTAAGAATTTTTAGAATTAGGATAAATAAGAGATAATTTATTTTCTTTTGTCCTAGCAGTTAAATAATGACTAGAAAATATAGACTTTTGCTTAGTCAGTATTTTTCAACCATAAATTTCAAAAGGATAGAAAGAGATGGTTGGGGAACCTATAGATTAAAAGACTTGACTTATGTTCATCAATTGCACTTTGCAAACATTTTGTAACTGGATTCAGACAAATTCTTTAAAAAATACAAACAAGTAAATTTGAATTTTGACTGGGTATTTGATATTGAATAATTATTATAGTGTTCAGGAGTTATGTTGGTATGATTCTTTTATCTTTTTTTGAAGTTCTTATGTAGGAGGTACATTCTGAAATACTTATAGATGATATGATCTAGAACTTGTTTTAAAGTGATATGGGAACTATTAAGTATGTAGAAGGTATAGAAGAAATAAGACTTGCCATACATTGATAATTATTGAAGCAGGGTGGTGGTTACGTCGAGGTTCACTGTAGTGTTCTCTTTTTATGTATGTTTTGACTTCTCCATAATAAAACATTTAAAAAATTAAAAAACCCACCATCGATAACTTGCCAGTATAGTTTAACCTGGATAGAACTTGCTGGAATTTTCTGTTTTATTTATCTATCTGCCTCTACAATCACTAGTCTTCTGGCTCAGTAACTGAGGGTCTAGTCTACTGATGACCTCTCCGTTTCTGAGAGAGTATGAGATAAGCCACTGTTGGCCCATTAGTAGCCACCTACATGCCTATTCCTTTGGTGGTCTGGCTTTGTAGTTAACTGTGGTGATATAACCTGCCAGGTAGAACATACGTTTCAGAGGGGCCCATCCCATTCTGGTGATTTTGGGTAAAAAGTTGAGGCCATATTTTGCTTGACTCTTTGGTTTTTTGTTTCTTCTTGTTGTTGTTGTTGTTTTGAAACAGAGCCTTGCTCTGTTGCCCAGGCTGGAGTGTAGTGGCACTATGTTGGCTCACTGCAACCTCCACCTCCCTGGTTCAAGCAATTCTCCTGCCTCAGCTTCCCAAGTAGATGGAATTACAGGTATACGCCACCATGTCTGGCTAATTTTTAGTAGAGACGGAGTTTTGCCATGTTGGCCAGGCTGGTCTTGAGCTCCTGACCTCAAGTGATTGCCTGCCTTGGCCTCCCAAAGTGCTGAGATTACAGGCGTGAGCCACCATGCCTGGCCTGCTTGACTCTTTAGCTTAGGTATATTGGTGCTCTGAAATTTTCTATCTGGTTTTGAGTATTCTTTGTAAATCAGGAAACTTAGTATTGGCTTTTTCACCAAATGTCATGCAATAAGGGACTTAAAAATATTTATAAAATTGTCTCACAAATGAAAGGAATTTAAGATATTTCAATAATAAATAGCCCAGTTTATTAATATTAATTCATGAATGAATCATTATCTTCTGAAATCATGTCATTTTTACTTGGTGTGGGTTAGTTTTTGTCCAGGTCTTCTGTTTATCAGCCCTGATGACATAAAGAGAAAGGCTACAGTAGGTAGCCTGTCAGTCTCTGGGTTCCCAGTGGTTGCTTAAAGAATCTTGCATTTCTCAGATTTAACTCACTAGGAGGAGAAACCATTCTTTAGATTCTGTGTACTTGCTGAATTAATGTTTGTTGATGAATATTTTTTAAAAATTAAGGGGGATTAGCTAACAAATTATATTCTAACAAAACAGGCTTTACCTAGTTAAAATATGGAAAAAAGACAACATATTTTATTCTGCTGATTTAGTGGAGGAGATTATATGTGGTCACTTAAATCATAAGAGTCAGGGTACTAGCCACATAGAACTCTAATGTGTCTTTCATCCCCAGTTAAGACATATGGGTAAAGTGTTAGTGAACCTCCCCTACCCATCTGTTTTTCTGTTAGTTGTAGATTTGGGTGAAGCTTAATTTTTTGGTGAATTTGGTCACATTAAACCTGAGATGAGTGGCAGTCTTGAATATTTTGGCATATAGGACACCATTTCTGTTTCTAATAAAATATGGATTTGTACTTGGGAGGCTGAAGTGGAAGAATCACCTGAGCCCAGGAAGTTGAGGCTGCAGTGAGCCATGACTGTGCCACTGCACTCCAGCCTGGGTGACAGAGTGAGACCCTGTATCAGATAAAATAAAGTAAATCAGATAAAATAAAATAAAGTGGGTTTAACATTGTTTCTAACATTCCTTTTTTTTTTTTTTCTTCCTTTGCCCTTTAGCTGGCAATCCTTTGGTCCAGCAAGGTGGACAGCCACTCATCCTGACCCAGAATCCAGCCCCAGGTCTGGGCACAATGGTTACTCAACCAGTATTGAGGCCTGTTCAGGTCATGCAGAATGCCAATCATGTGACTAGTTCCCCTGTGGCCTCACAACCAATATTTATCACTACACAGGTGAGTAGGACTCTGAATTCCAAGGTTGCTAGAGGAGAGAAAGACTGTGAACCTCTGAAAGCTCTGACTTAGGGTCTTTGGCATCATTAGAAGTGGTTCTAAGTCTTGTCTCTTGACCTGGCTTTCTCATTTACTGTTCTGCAATTTGATGTTGACTGTGGAAAGCCCAGCTTAGATAGCATGGCTGGGTAATATCTTCTTTAAACCCCTTAGAAGTTTATTAAGTGATTTGATTAAAATCTAGGCAGAAATTAGTGGGAAAGCTTGGATTAGGAAGCCTTAATGCTTGGCTCTTGAGGCTTTTCACCCTTTGCTTGGACTGCTCCTCTTCCCACGGGATGAGTTAGTTAACTTTTGGAGATATAGATATGTAATTGGTGGAGTTCATGGAGACCTTTGGGAGACAAGGAAGATGACTTATTTGATATATAATGTGTTGAATTGAAGTTGAAAGCCTAATTCTGAAAGCCTGATTCTAAAGGCAAATGCTTCTCTTTGCCTGTGGCTTCCTGAGTTGTAAATTCTTATGAATTTGCCAGAGGTTTGTGGCCTTTGAAGTAGACTTTGGGAACAATTTCTTAGGATTGTTTGTATATTGAATCACTCCAGTGAACATTGCTCTTCCCCCCGCTCCCCCACCCCTGCTTCTCTTCATTTAGCACTTCAGGGAGCCAATGTGTTGATGAGGTTTTTTAAACCGATGCTCTCTTAAGTCAGGGAATAGGTTTTCATTTTTGCTTGTGTGTACCAAAGCTTGTTCTCTAGTTTTGATATTTTGTTACTCAAAAGTTTGCCAGAATTTCCTAAACTTCTCCATCTCAGTCGTTTAAAAGCTGTAATTCTAGAGAGAGAACCATTAAGTAAGAGTATGGGAATTTTTTTGGATATAGGTCATACTGCAATGTTTGTTAGTGTTAGTTGGTCTCCATGTTAAAGCTCATTTTGCTTTTTAATACAGGGATTTCCTGTAAGGAATGTCCGGCCTGTACAAAATGCAATGAATCAGGTTGGGATTGTGCTGAATGTACAGCAAGGCCAAACGGTTAGACCAATTACACTAGTTCCAGGTAAGGAAAAATGTCTATCCATTTGGAGTAAACCGGCATCCAGAAGATTTGTTTTTGTTGTTCTACATATCCTAAGTCATTTAGTAAGTATATTTAAAGAAAATATAAAAATCTTAATGATTTAAGCCCAATTTTTAAAAATCTGTTTGGCCAGGGTGGTGGTTTTATTTCTGTTTAGCTTTTCACCACCCTTCATGAAGTAGTAAAACAGAGTTTATAGTCATTATTCTGTAACTGGTATTTAGTCAGCTATTAAGTTTGTTATCCTGGAGAAATGTTATTAATGCAAACTCACAAATTCATTCCTTACACATCTCCTCATTTGCACGGTGGGATTATAAACTTTGTTTTAATTTTATAGCATGGATTTTAGATATAAACAAATGACCATTCCCTTTATGGATAAATACTGTCAATGACTAGATAGTTTTTTTGTGTTTTTTTTAAGATTCTGCTAGATAGTTTTTTTGTTTTTTAAGATTCTGAGGAGGATAATTTTTAAAAATCTTAGAATTTTCCATTGCTCTATTTAGCATGTATAAGTTTACTACAATTCAGACCAAAAAAGAATATCTTAATTTAGCTATTTGTAACGGTACCTCTGTAGCTTGTCTCCCTAAGGTTTTGTTTTTTGTTCTCATAGCCCACAGGGGTTTTTAGCCCTCAGTCTGACCAGCTTACCCTGGTATTTCTTTATTTTTCTCAGTGGAATCGTCTACAGTTGAGCCAGTAGACATTCTCCTTTGGGACATCCTAGTAGAATGACATAGTCTGTCTTCTGAGTTGATAGGAAAGGACGGGAAGACTCCTTTAGTACTCTGAGAAAGACTGATTTCTTTTTTCAGGACCAGGTTTGCCATTTGGCCTATATACACCCATATTGCCAGTACCGAGGTCGAGCTACTAATTGTATTCTTAGAATTAAAAAGGCAGTGTGGTAAGGTGTTTCAGGAGGAGTTGATGGGAGTCTTAACTAAATGTTTTTAGGCTACCCAGGCTAATTTATTTTGTCAATATGGACACCTTGTGCTTTCTTAGTCTTTAGAATCTATACTACTCTTGGAAACTTCTGATGATCATCCATCAGTTTGGGGAAGTAATCTTTCCAGTAAAGGCAGGGAGAATGTTTTATAGGTGAGCTCACTGACCAAGATCTGGTACTTTATCTCTCTTTCAAAGCCCCAGGTACCCAGTTTGTTAAGCCGACAGTTGGAGTTCCACAAGTGTTCTCCCAGATGACCCCTGTGAGGCCAGGCTCCACAATGCCTGTGAGGCCCACCACCAACACCTTCACCACCGTCATCCCGGCCACTCTTACCATTCGAAGCACCGTCCCACAGTCCCAGTCCCAGCAGACCAAGTCCACTCCCAGCACTTCCACCACTCCCACTGCCACACAGCCAACCTCACTGGGGCAACTAGCTGTTCAGTCTCCTGGCCAGTCAAACCAAACCACGAATCCCAAGCTAGGTAAGGCTTGGGAAGAGGAGATGGCAGAGCTAGGATGGGATGGTGGGTGGAGAACAGATGATTATCACTTGGTCACCGTAGCTCCCTCCTTCCCCTCTCCACCTGCAGTGAGCATTGCCAGCTTTGTCACTGTGAAGCGACCTGGCGTTACAGGTGAAAATAGCAATGAAGTGGCCAAATTGGTGAATACCCTTAACACAATCCCTTCCCTGGGCCAAAGTGCTGGGCCAGTGGTGGTGTCCAACAACAGCTCTGCTCATGGCTCTCAAAGAACCAGCGGACCTGAGTCGTCAATGAAAGGTACAATAACCTGAAAGACCCTGAGCAGCCAGTCATTCAAAAGCATTAATAAAGTGTTCGTTGTATCAGAGCTCTATACTCAGAAATACAGAAATAAAATAAAATATAGCTGCTGTAGTTTGCTCTTACAGAAACTTTAGTAAGGAGAAAGTCACTTATAAAAAGTGTAACTGAATCAGCTCTAAGAAATTCTATGTGTAATTGTGCTTTGGAGATTAGTGAAATTGATTGATCAAGAGATTGGTGAGATAATGAAAGATAACTTCATGGAAGAGATGGATTTCTAAACAAGGTTTTAAAGTTGGGATTTGGTAGAGAGATCTTCAGGTTGAGAATATGAGCATGAGGGTTTTCGATGGTCTAGAGCAGGGGTCGGCAAATGTTTTCTGTAAAGGGTCTAGTAGTAAATTTGGAGGCTTTGTGCACGATATGTAGCCTCTGTTGCCGCTGTTAGCTGTGCTGTTGTGGTGTGGAAGCAGCCACAGGTACATAAACGAATGAGCATGGCTGTGCTCCACTAAAAACTATTTATGGACTGAAATTTAAGTTTCATAAAATTTTCATGTGTCGAAAAATTTTATTCTTTTATTTCAACCTTTTAAAAATAAAAACCGCAAGATGCAGTGGCTCACATCTAATCCCAGCATTATGAGAGGCCAAGGCGGGAGGATCACTTGAGCCTAGGAGTTTGAGACCAGCCTGGGCAACATGGTGAGATCCCTTCTCTACAAAAAAAAAAAAGAAAAATTAGCCAGGTGTGGTGGTGTATGTCTGCAGTCCTCGCTACTCAGGAGTCTGAGGTGAGAGGATGGCTTGAACCCAGAGGGTTGAGCCTGCAGTGAGCCGTGATCATGCCACTGCAACAGAACGAGACCCTGTCTCAAAAAAAGGTAAAAACCTTTAAAAAAAAGTTGTTGGGAAAACTAGATATCCGTGTCCAAAAAAATGAAGTTGAACCTTACCTTACTCTTAATACAAAAATTAACTCAAAATGGATCAAAGACCTAAATGAACTAAAACTATAAGACTCTTAGAAAAATCATAGAACAAAAAGCTTCATGATACTGGATTTGACAGTGATTACTATTTCTTGGATATGACACCAAAAGCATAGGCAAGAAAAGAAAAAAATGGGTAAATTAAATTATATCAAAATTTAAAACTTTTGTGCATCAAAGGACATTATCAACGCAGTGAAAAGGGAAGCCACAGAATGGGAGAAAATATTTGCGAATTATATATCTAATAAGTGGTTAACATCCAGAATATATAGAGAATTCCTACAGTTCAATATCAAAAAAAACTCCCAAACAACCTTTTTTAAAAATAAGCAAAGGAGGCCGGGCGCCGTGGCTCACGCCTGTAATCCCAGCACTTTGGGAGGCCGAGGTGGGCGGATCACGAGGTCAGGAGATCGAGACCATCCCGGTGAAACCCCATCTCTACTAAAAATACAAAAAAATAGCCGGGCGTGGTGGCGGGCACCTGTGGTCCCAGCTACTGGGAAGGCTGAGGCAGGAGAATGCCGTGAACCCAGGAGGTGGAGCTTGCAGTGAGCCGAGATGGCGCCACTGCACTCCAGCCTGGGTGAGAGCGAGACTCCGTCTCAAAAAAACAAACAAACAAAATAGGCAAAGGATTGGCTGGGCGCAGTGGTTTATGCCTGTAATCCCAGCACTTTGAGAGGCCGAGGCAAGTGGATCACGAGGTCAGGAGTTCAAGACCAGCCTGACCAATATGGTGAAACCCTGTCTCTACTAAAAATACAAAAATTAGCCAGGCACGGTGTTGTGTGCCTGTATTCCTAGCTACTCAGGAGGCTGAAATGGGAGAATTGCTTGAACCTGGAAGGCAGAGGTTGTGGTGAGCGAGATCGTGCCACTGCACTGCAGCCTGGGCGACAGAGCAAGACCCTATCTCAAAAAAAAGAAAAAAAAAAGGTAGGCAAAGGACTGAACAGAGCTTTCTCCAAAGAAGGTTATAGCAAATAAGCTCATGAAAAGGTGCTCGGCGTTATTACGGAAATGCAAATCAAAACCACAATGAGGTACCGTCTCACCCCCATTAGGATGGCTATTAGCAAAGAACCAGAAAATAACAAATATTGTTGAGGATGTGGAGAAAGCAGAACCCTTACGCACTGTTGGTGGAAATGTAAAATGATACAACCACTTTGGAAACAGTGTGATGGTTTCTCAAAAAGTTAAAAATGATAGAATTGTATGCTCCAGGAATTCCACTTCTGGTTCTATACCCAAAAGAATTGAAAGCAGGGTTTAGAACAGGTATTTGTACACCTATGCTCATTGCAACATTATTCACAATAGCTGAAAGGTGAAAGCAACACAGAGGTCCATCAACTGATAAAGGCATGAATAAAATGTGGTATTCACATACAATGGTATATTGTTCAGGCTTAAGAAAGGAAATTCTGAGGCCGGGCGCGGTGGCTCAAGCCTGTAATCCCAGCACTTTGGGAGGCTGAGGCGGGCGGATCACGAGGTCAGGAGATCGAGACCATCCTGGCTAACACGATGAAACCCCGACTCTACTAAAAAATATGAAAAAAAACTAGCCGGGTGAGGTGGCAGGCGCCTGTAGTCCCAGCTACTCGGGAAGCTGAGGCAGGAGAATGGCGTAAACCCGGGAGGCAGAGCTTGCAGTGAGTCGAGATCGCGCCACTGCACTCCAGCCTGGGCGACAGAGCGAGACTCCCTCTCAAAAAAAAAAGGAAAAAAGAAAGGAAATTCTGCTACAACAGTGCTACTACATGGTTGAACCTTGAGGACGTTATGCTAAAGTGAAATAGGCTAGTCACAAAAGGACAATTACTATATGATTCCACTTACTTGAGGTACCTAGAGTAGTCAGATTCATAGAGACAAAGTTGAATGGTGGTTGCCGGGTTGGAGGCAAGGGGAGAGTTTTTTATTGGATATAACTTCAGTTCTGCAAGATTGAAAAAACAAAAACAAAAACCTTAACAAAAAAATCACATACAAATTATTCTTAGGTTATGGGCCAAACAGAAACTGGCAGCTGGGCTGGATTTGATCTGCAAGCTGTGGTTTGCTGACCCCTGGTCTAGAGTTAGAACAGTAAAAGGAACGTGCCTCAAATATAGTGATCTTGAACCCAGGGAGGTCAAGGCTGCAGTGAGCTGTGGTCGTGCCACTGCACTCCAGCCTGGGCAGCAGACTGAGAGACCCTGTCTCAAAAAAAAAACAAAAACAAACAAAAAACCATAGTGATCTCTCATGCTTGCTTATCGTTTTATATATTTCTCAGGGAGTGTTTGACCTTTTCCCAAAAGGTTAGTAATCTTTTTCCGGTGTCATTGTATTAATCTTATCAATTCTTCTCACTTCTTTCAGTGACCTCTTCCATCCCAGTATTTGACCTCCAGGATGGTGGACGGAAAATATGTCCACGGTGTAATGCTCAATTTCGTGTTACTGAAGCTTTGAGAGGTCACATGTGTGTAAGTGATATCACCTGTGATCCAGCTTAAGTGGCTTCTGCCATTTACCTTCATTAATATTGGAAGCTTGTGAAGCAGGGGCTCTAAAATGACTGAAGCTTTTTGGAGGGTTACTGTTTCTCTTGGTCTGTTTTTAAAAGAGCTATGTACTTTGGAATGTGATGGGATACATTTAAAGACCCTCAAATAGATCAGAACATATGTGATCTTACTTTCTTAGCACGGTAGATTTTGAAACCACACAGAAGAACAGATTTATAGGTAATAAGGACTCAAACCATATTGGCCTCAGTTCGTTTTCTGTTAATTGTATCATTGGATGAATCAGGAGCTCTTATTTCCATTTTTTAGCTTTTCATTTTTTGGTATTAGTCCAGATAAAAAGGTTGGAAAATGTTTTTTGCCAGGGAGCTCAGAGCCGAGTTATACTAATGATTAAGGGACCTAAGACAGGCAGGAGGGAGAAGTACAAAGTATGGTGTTTGTGTGGCGTACGGCTGTGGATATACTCTAGAACAGGAGTGAAACTTGGAAAGACTGAAGGGTGAAAGCTGAATGAGAATACCTGAAACCAAACCGTTAACAAAGAATGGTAGTGAAGTTAAGGAGTTAGCACATTCTAGCCCCCAGGATAACCAGAATGATCAGATGTCTTTCTTTATAGTACTGTTGCCCAGAAATGGTTGAATACCAGAAGAAAGGAAAGTCCCTGGATTCAGAACCCAGTGTCCCATCAGCAGCAAAGCCCCCATCCCCTGAGAAAACAGCTCCTGTTGCTTCCACACCCTCTTCTACACCTATTCCTGCTCTGTCACCACCTACCAAAGTACCAGAGCCAAATGAGAACGTGGGTGATGCCGTCCAGACCAAACTCATTATGCTTGTAGATGACTTCTACTATGGACGGGATGGTGGCAAAGTAGCCCAACTCACAAATTTCCCTAAGGTCGCCACATCTTTCCGATGCCCACATTGTACCAAAAGACTAAAAAACAATATTCGGTAAGTGTTGAAGAGCCTTGGAGGTTACTTTGGACAAGAGAAGACTTACATTTTCTTATATATTTTAAGTCTTTCTCTTTGGAGAATGGACCTAACTACTATACAGTCTTGCTGGGGTTATCTTTAAATCAGTAACTAGGACTATAGAAGGAGATATTGTGGTATTAAACAAAAGGTCACTGGATCGAGTAAAGGAAACCAGTACATCTCCTTTCACAGAACTCTCTTAGTTTCAAGTACTCACTATCTTTCTGGGCTCAGAAAAGGATAGCCCAAACAGGAAGTTTGGGGAATGGAGGGGAGTAGATAATGTTTGTTCTGTAATTTTACCATTATATTTCTAAAAGGCTACTGATTTTTTATGTTTTCTGTACTTTCTCTTTGTACTTTATTACAGATTCATGAACCATATGAAACACCACGTAGAACTCGATCAGCAGAATGGTGAGGTAGATGGTCATACTATCTGTCAGCACTGTTACCGCCAGTTTTCCACTCCCTTCCAGCTTCAGTGCCACTTGGAAAATGTTCATAGTCCCTATGAATCTACTAGTAAGTTTGGAAACTCTTAAACTCTAGGGGAATATACCTTGCCGTTCACTCATTGAATGGCTCTGGGGGGAGCCTATTATATTTATTTACATGTGGGTAACAGTGTAGAGGAAGTACTTTTCATATTTGTAGCCAGTTCTTTACTTCATTCACCTTGTTTTTTTTTTTTTTTACAAGCCTGACTTATTTTGTTCGAGCATGGATTGAGTTCAGTCTTAGATCCTGAATTATTAGGGGCCTTGATTCAGAACCACTGTAGAAAAACAAACGTAATGAATTTATTTCTTAGGTCTCTTTATAGAAGGAACAGTCATCTATTTGCTCATCCACTTTAGTTAATACCCTGATAGGTTTTATGTAGGATAGAAGATAATATTATGAAGTACTTTATCATGAAGACATTGCTTTCAATGAAATATAAGATGAGCTGGAGTGTTTTTACACTGTACATTTTATAGATGTAGGCTGGACATAAGCTCAAAGAAATTAAGTAGGATAAAAGATAATATGGGCCGGGTGCAGTGGCTCACGCCTGTAATCCCAGCACTTTGGGAGGCCGAGGCAGGCGGATAACGAGGACAGGAGATCGAGGCCATCCTGACTAACACGGTGAAACCCCGTCTCTACTAAAAATGTAAAAAATTAGCCGGGCATGGCGGCAGGCACCTGTAGTCCCAGCTACTTGGGAGGCTGAGGCAGGAGAATGGCATGAACCCGGGAGGCGGAGCTTGCAGTGAGCTGAGATTGCGCCACTGCTTTCTAGCCTGGGCGATTAAGCAAGACTCCATCTCAAAAAAAAAAAGAAAGAAAGAAAATATGTCCAGGCACGGTGGCTAACACCTGTAATCCCAACACTTCGGTAGGCTGAGGTGGGCGGATCACCTGAGGTCAGGAATTTGAGACCAGCCCAGCCAACATGGCGAAACCCCGTCTCTACTAAAAATATAAAAATTAGCCGGGCATGGTGGTGGGCGCTTCTGTAATCCCAGCTACTCGGGAGGCAGAGGCAGGAGAATCGCTTGAACCCGGGAGGCAGAGGTTGCAGAGAGCTGAGATCATGCCATTGCACTCCAGTCTAGGCAACAAGAGCAAAACTCCATCTCCCCCCCCAAAAAAAAAAAAAAAAAGTTTAATATTAAGTACTTTATCATTAAGACAGTGCTTTCAAAAAAAAAGAAAAAAAGACAGTGCTTTCAATGAAATATAAGTTGAGCTGGAATGTTTTCTATACTGTACGTTTTATAGATAGATGTAGGCTGAACATATGCTCAAAGAAATTAACTCACTTGCTTATGAGCACACACCTCTAAATACACCTCTACTAAGGAGACATTGTGAGGATTTAAGCCCAGTGTTGAGAATACTTCTGATGTCCTTTACGGGATTTCCAGTTTTGTTGTAAAGACAAAAATTATGTAAATATAGGCAAATATGAGAATAAGTTAGTATATTATAAACATAGACATTTTTAAGATATCATTGGTAGGCGAAATAGTTCAGAGAAGGGAAAAAATCCTTGTGGTTAGGTTCCAGGAAAGTTGTGCTTAAATTTAAGAAAGGTTTAGACGGATGGAAAGTAGTAAGAAAAGCTTTTAGGTGATTGAAAACAGCATGATCAAAAGCATAAAAGACATATGCATATTATCTGGAAGCATTTGCTGCAAATGAAAATCCTTAACTAAAATGAATTAAACAACAAGGACTGAGTGTGGTGGCGCACACCTGTAATCCCAGCACTTTGGGAGGATTAGGTGGGTGGATCAGTTGAGGCCAGGGGAGACCAGCCTGGCCAACATGGCAAAAGCCCATCTCTACTAAAAATACAAAAATTTGCTGGGTGTGGTGGTGCACGCCGGTAATCCCAACTACTCAGGAGGCTGAGGCACGAGAATCACTTGATCCCAGGAGATGGAGGTTGCAGTGAGCTGAGATTACACCACTGCACTCCATTCTGGATGAAAGAGCGAGTCTCTATCTCAAAACAAAAGAAAATAATAAGAATATATTTTGTATCATTTAACTGAGAGATACAGAAACGGATGCTTCAGCCTAGAACTTGACTACTTTGCTGTTTTTCTTTTTTTTTTTTTGTTTTGTTTTGTTTTGTTTTGTTTTGTTTGAGGCGGAGTCTTGCTCTGTCGCCCAGGCTGGAGTGCAGTGGCTGGATCTCAGCTCACTGCAAGCTCAGGCTGGAGTGCAGTGGCCGGATCTCAGCTCACTGCAAGCTCCGCCTCCCGGGTTCACGCCATTCTCCGGCCTCAGCCTCCCGAGTAGCTGGGACTACAGGCGTCCGCCACCTCGCCCGGCTGGTTTTTTGTATTTTTTAGTAGAGACGGGGTTTCACCGTGTGAACCAGGATGGTCTCGATCTCCTGACCTCGTGATCCGCCCGTCTCGGCCTCCCAAAGTGCTGGGATTACAGGCTTGAGCCACCGCGCCCGGCTGCTTTGCTGTTTTTCAATAATTCTCTTGTCTCTGGCTCATAGCAGGGTGACTGTGTAAGTGTCAGGCACTACGTCCAGACAAAAAATTGTTAGACAAAGAAGAGACCTTATCTTCGCATCTTTCTTTCTTGAATCTGTTTTCTTATGCATGAGAATTGCTTTCCTTCTATATCTCTTTGACTATTTATTGGCAAGGGAAATGGAATTGACATTAATGGCTTACACTAACACTAGGCAGTAGAAATATGCAAGCTTCATGGGTAAGTTTAATTTTTTTCACTTTAAATACAGTAGTGCTCCCTTATCCTCAATTTTAGTTAGTCTTAGTCAATCACAGTCCAAAACTAGGTGAGTGCAGTACAGTAAGATTATTGAGAGACTACGTTCACATAACTTTTATTACAGTGTATTGTTATAATTGTCCTTTTATATATAATATATTTTTTTATTGTTAATCTCTTTGCCTAATTTATAAATTAAACTTTATCATAGGTGTGTGTATATATATGTATATATGAAAAAACGTGGTATGTATAGGGTTCACTACTATCTGAGGTTTCGTGTATGCACTGGGGGTCTTGGAACATTTATTTCCCATTGGCAAAGGGGATCTACTGTAAAGTTTAAAAAAAATAGGCAAAATTAATTTTAACAGCATATTTTATTCAATATATTAAAAATATTTCAACATGAACTCAAAATTTAAAATTAATGACATATTTGTTATTCTTTTTTCAAATACACATCTAAATTGGATTCAAGCTTACCACATGTTAAGTGTTCACTAGATACATGTTGCTGGTGCCACCATATTAGACAGTGGAACTTTGGACTAATCATTTGGGAGTAGAATGCATATTAGAATCAGCCGGGCCAGGTGCAGTGGTTCAGGCCTGTAATCTCAGCACTTTGAGAGGCCGAGGCAGGCAGATTGAGCTTAGGAGTTCAAAACTAGCCTGGGCAGCATGGAGAAACCCCGGTTCTACCAAAAAAAAAAAAAAATACAAAAATTAGCTGGGTGTGGTGGCGCATGCCTGTGGTCCTAGCTACTCAGGAGGTAGAGGTGGGAGGATTGCTTGAACCCAGTAGGTCAAGGCTAGAGTGAGCCATGATCATGCCACTGCACTCCACCTTGGATAACAGAGCAAGACTCTGTCTCAAAAAAAAAGAATCAATAGTGATACTGCAGTGTAGTGCCAGGGTAGCCAGCTTGGTCTAGAATAGGACTCAAGATTCTTCACTGTCAGTTGTGTGAAGCCAGAGTAACTCATCCATACCTCTCAGTGAAAACACCAGTTTTTTGAGACAACAGGGTCTTGCTCTGCCACCCAGGCTGGGGTGCAGTGATGTAATCATAGCTCACTGCAGCCTCAAACCCCTGGGCTCAAGCAATCCTGCCACCTCAGCCTCCTTAGCAGCTGGGACTGTAGGCATGCGCCCCCACACCCAGCTAATTTATTCCTTTTCTTGGAGGTAGAGACAGGGTCTTGCTGCGTTACCCAGGCTGGGTACCTAACTCATTTTTACACGTATTATGGTGGGTGGGTTTTGTTTTTCCGAAATTCCACAAATAATAAAATTCCACAGAGGGAAGATAAGCTTTTCCTTCTGGAAAAGAAACAATGTAGACCCTCATTGATCTTTTTTCTGTTGGTTTCCCTGACTTAATTTTTGAGTCTCTTACGACAAAATTTTATACTTACCAAAATCACCTTTCCTTAGTGATTTCAATTTTATTCTTGCAGTCTTTTGTCACTTCCTTTTTTGCACCCTTGACAGATCTGGCATGAAAGTAGTTTTTTGTTTGTTTGTTTGTTTGTTTGTTTTTTGAGACAGGGTCTCTCTGTTAGCCAAGCTGGAGTGCAGTGGCACAGTCTTGGCTCACTGCAACCTCCACTTCCCAGGCTAAGATGATCCTCCCAACTCAGCCTCCTCAATAGCTGGTACTACAGGCACATGCCACCATGCCCAGCTAATTTTGGGAGTTTTCTTTGGCGGGGTGAGGGGGGTTGTAGAGATGGAGTTTTGCCATGCTGCCCAGGCTGGTCTCAATTTATTGAGCTCAAGCTCGGCCTCTCAAAGCTGTCATTACTGGCGTGAGCCACCGAGCCCGGCGTTTTTGTTTTTTTGTTTGTTTGTCTTTTGTTTTTTGAGACAGTTGCTCTGTCACCGAGGCTGGAGTGCAGTGGTGCGATCTTGGCTCACTGTAACCTGCACCTTCCAGATTCAAGCAATTATTGTGCCTCACTCTCCCAAGTTTCTGGGATTACATGCATGTGACACCATGCCCAGTTAATTTTTTTTTGTTTATTTTTAGTAGAAATGGGGTTTTGCCATGTTGTTCAGGCTGGTCTCAAACTCCTAGACTTAAATAATATACCTGCGTCAGCCTCCCAAAGTGCTGGGATTTTGTATTTTTAGTAGAGATGGGTTTTTACCATGTTGGCCAGGCTGGTCTAAAACTCCTGACCTCGTGATCCACCCGCCTCAGCCTCCCAAAGTGCTGGGATTACAGGCATGAGCCACCATGCCCAGCCCAAAAGTAGCTTTAAAAAAA